TCGCCGAGATCTTTATCCTTTTATTTTGTAGCCTTGTTTTACAAGTTGTTCAATAAAATAAAAAACGAAAACTATGACACTATATCATTTCTATGTAATTGTTTGCATTTTGATGCGTCTTGGTCAGCTTGCCTATCCCCAGGAATGGAGGCTTAGCTCTGAAGAGGAAGAACAGCAATGCTGCACTGCATCTATAAAGAGTGAATAATAAATTGCAGCTTCCAATAAGTAACGATTTTTTTCTTCCAAACGGGAACTTCACATGATTTACAGCTTTGAAGACGACATGAACACCGGTGTTTGCAGTGTCTGCGCTCTAAAGGAATTGACGCGGTGTTTAAGCCTGGTAGCACGTGGGAGGCAACGTAATGCTCGGCTGACGTCTTTAAGGTTTGAACCCTGTGTGTTTAACGCAGTTAGCTTAATTTTAGCTTATTATTCACTGCCTACTCTTTTTAATAGCAAGGTATATTGCGGAATATAAGTTCAACGATGGTGAGATATTCTCAAAACTCCGGACCGCAGGTGCCTGTAGTCGGAAACGAACGCGCTATTATCCTTTTTGCGCTGTCCACATCAATCCCGCTGACGGCTGATTGCTGATGGCACTAATAGAAATAGCTGGGAGACAGGAGAAACGAAAGATCTGCATGGTGTGGTGGTGAACGCGTTAGCCCACGGGAAGGGTAATAGCGCGTTCGTTTCCCACCGCAAGCACCTATGACCTGGAGCTTTGCAAATATCTCAGCACCATTGCAGTTAGCTTATTTGCTCTTCATCAAAGTTAAGATATTTGTGCTATGCTGTTTATGTACAGCAAATCGTTGTAAGCATTATGTTGGACAGAATAGAAAAAAACGTACTTCCTTAGGTCACCATACAATCGGTTGTCAGAGAATGCTTTCGGACTATGAATCAGAATGATTTCAGAAGATACCGTCGGCTTCCACTTTGCATCTGGTGGTCCTCTTCTTCATCACTCACACTCTAGCCATAAAAAAAGGGTTTTTTTTGACAATGTCTTATTGTATTTTGTGTCTTATCCAATTAGTTTCTTGGCATACATCTACTTCCTAAATCATTTATCCCCACATTAATTCTTCATCTTATGTAACATAGCGCATTCCAAGTGCCGAATATTTTGCTGCCATTCGCTTTGTCATCAAGTTTGATTTGAAATTCTTTGCTTTTAATCATCGTGCTCTATTAAAGACTGCAGCTGTTTGTCGTTATATAAGTTCTACCGTTGCCGCGAGGCTTCCTTGGTAGTCGTCTGCTTTTTTTGCTCTCTCTAACATAGCTTTTCTTTCTAACATTATCAGAGAACATTGAGTAAACTCAGTATGGTTTCGTATTTTAGACAGTGTCAATGAATCCCACGCCTGTAATTATGTTTGCACTGTCGTTGGTGGCGGGTCTGCACATAAGAACCGTTAGAAGGGTAAAGTTTAGCACATTTTGTTTCCTTATAGCCCTCGCACAATCTCTGATGCACATGAATCATCATTGTATATGCTCACTCTCACTTCTCATAACTGGCTCGTAGCAATGCTTAATATTTTAATTTCAAATCACTTTAACTAATGCAACTGTTGTTAAACATTCCCGTGGTTGTTGGATGTTTCTGCAGATAGAACTAGGTTTCAGACAAATGCTGCTTTCCATTCGATCCCAAGCCGCATAATGCCAACCCGGTTGAGGTAGTTGACATTCTCATCTGGAAGATCAGCTAGTGAAGAACCTTTGTCACCATAGAGCCCGGAGGGCTACTCGTGACTTTCATTTCAGCAAAAAGTACCAAAATGAAGAAGAAATTTTGACATAAATGTTATAAGATTCCCATACTTAGAGAGAGAAGAGCGCATTGAACGGCAACAAGATTGATGTTTTCCGTTTCCAGTTTGAGCCACTCGATGATTAAAAGAATTCATGTGACACAAGTATTGTACAATGGAGATGGTACGGCTTTCCTTTGTGAAAAGAACGAAATTCGCTAGAATACCAGTTATCACGGAGCATACCGGAACTAGAAAATCATTTTTATTTCTCATTCTAGAGAATAAAAGAAATCAAAAACCATCTAGAGAATAAAAGCCTAGCAGTAGGTGTCAGAGGTATTAGAAAGTCGCTACTAGTGTATAATGCTGAGATATTTGCAAAACTCCGCACTGCAGGTGTATGCGATGGGGAACGAACGCGCACTATTGACCTTACCGGGGAGTAGCGCACTTAACCACCACACCATCCGGGTCCTTCGCTTACCATCTCTCTCAGCTACTGTCGCTGTCCATGTCGCTACTAGGTCAATTATTTTGCGTATACGTCGGGCTTAATATTTCTCCAACTTCTTCGTTGTAGCAGAAACATCTCCTTCATGGCTCAAGTAAATGTTGATGTTCGGCAACTGTGGTGCACTATTTATTGCCTTATTTGGCGTGAGGTGTCATATCAGAAGACATTCTTTGCGCAGTTTCCCGCTAGAAAATTTTAAAGGTGCGGAAATCTGTGGCATTTTTCAAGAGTCTACGGCTTACACATGAATAGATAAAAACTGTAACTGGAATATGAAGAAATTATCAGTAATGTTTAAATTTGGCCGTGGTAGGCTCTTGCAGATTTTGTCTACTTTATTCCGCTTCCTTCCCAGTGGTTTACCGCCTCGTCGTGACTGGCAGGTGTTTCTGAGTGTCGGTTCGCGATGTACAGCGGGAAGATTCATCCCTCAACAAGGTCTCTCAAGCTGAAGAGGAGGCCGGCGTTTCCGTCAGTAAGCCCAGCTAAGAGTAAACCAATACCAGAATCTACCACCGCTCTGGCATCAGTCTAGTTGCCCGATGGCAAATCTTTCTTTGATCCACAAGGGCTGTGGCTGCCTGTGGTTTTGATGACCTGGGGGGTGTTTGGCGTAGATGGCCGCGGAACTCCAGGGAACGACAATGGCTAAGCCAGTAAATCTTCGTGGGATCCGCACGACCAGTGAAGACGGGTCATCCAAGTATTCAAGTAAGTAAGATATCGCTTCAGACTTTTACAACAGAGTGTGTGTAGATGCAAACTTATAAAACACCATTATAGTCTTTTTGGGGCAAACAGTGAAAGCATGCACTACACTTGCCCAATCGATCGTCGAATTCAGATTATTAAATGAAGTACCTACGGTGGCCATATAGAATACACAATAGCTTCCTTGCTATCTGTACGCCTGAGCGAACTCCTTCACGATTGGTGCTCTGCGGAACATGGTTTTCATCAAACTGTAACTCTAACAGTTTTCAAAGACTATTTCTCAAAAACGAAAGAGAAGTCCTACAAGGACGACTTTGGCTTTCCTGCATAGGAATTTGCTGACATTTTGGATAGAAGGGTGATTCGTCGGCTTACGAAAAGGTTTCTTCCAAGGCGTCGGTAATTGCACACCCCGGTTTATTCATATCTGTGCATCCAACTAAGATAAAACATTGTACCGTTATCAGTTTGGTTGTTAACTGGATAAATTTCTTACAATACATCGATGTTCGATGGTCCCAGAACAGACCTTACCTTGTTGAGATAGTAAGCCGTAAAGGAAGAAGTGGCATAGTAGATTTTTAAGCAATAAGATAACTAAGCAATAGTTTTCTTATTATTAAAGAGATCAAATTACAACTTTGATACAAATTTGAAGAATTTTCTTAAGGGGCCAGTGATCAATATACACGCGCAGGAACGCGGTGATACCATGCCTTCATTAACACTTTCTCCGTAAGTTCTATCAATCAAATAGTTATGTCAATGAGAAGCGTTGCAGACAGAATTCTCGACAAGAACCGGAAAATTAGTTTGAATCACCGTTCTGACGGTGGTGTTTTTCACAAATATTGAGAAACTCGTCCTTAACTAATGCAGAAATGGTTCTCATCGCCCATATGAAGTCGTCCGCCCGTAAATGGATGAATCGAACTTTCCAGACGCAGTTTTCCACGCCACGCAAGCAGGCGACGAAACACTGAAAACGGTCGTTCTGATGATGTCGTCATTCCATTTATAATTACCGGCCAATACGGTAGGCATTAGGATCCGTTGCCCTACTTTTCACGAGTAATGAAGAAAAGGAAGAAGCAACTTTAGTCCGATTGTATATAGCCTTGGTTTTTTCCAGGATTTTTTTGTACTCGTTCTTTCCAGCACCACTCGAGCGAGGACTTATCCTAGCTGCGATGGAAGACATTTCTAATAACACATGTGTTCGATTCCGTCCCCGAAAGGACGAAAAAGATTATGTAAATATTAGAAATGCAGCGGGAAAAGGGTGAGTGTTTTCTTCAAAGAAACAGATGAAATGGAATAAAACGAAAGGCTCCGCCAGCCTTGAAGTTCAACGTTGTAAGCGGAAAAAAATTAAGCCGACGTTCTAAAGTTACTGACTATTTCAATAAAAAGGATGAAGTATAAAGCTTTCACCGTTGATCAATCCTTGAGGGATCCGCCGTGAATTCGACTTCATTAAGCATCGTTTTGGTGGTGATTGAATGCATGTCTGCCCTTTACAATGATTCGCGGTGGACCACCGATGTATCGAATCAGTGCTGCTATTCTCTCAGACTAGTCTGGTACCGATCTGCCGGTCCCGAAAGGATGGAAGGTTTAGTGGGCCATGGGTGCGGGGATCAATTCCACGTGTGTGTTACAGGGCGCCTCCGACCACTGCGCCACACGTGCCCTTTCATTATTATTAGACTATTTCGATAGTACACAAAGTAAATTGTGCTATTCCTTATCAGAATTCTTTTCAACGAAGATAAATCTTTCATGCAGCTATCACCATCCCTTCAACTTCCTCTAATTTTCGTGGCAGTTTCCATCTACTCGCTTTTTGCGCATTTTCTCTTTGAACTATCCAAGCCCATTGAGGTTTATTTGCATTTAACAATCTCGGGAAGATTTATTCTTTTAGAATTTTTGCAGGTCACACTTTGCACTCACACAATAATTTTTCATTAAGCTGTTTCTCTTATATTGGGATGCAAGGCGGTGAACAGTTTCTACATTTAGAAGCGAGCAGTTTAGGAAGGTGAGTGATTAGGAAATTAGAAAGCCGTGTATATTTTGCTGTGCTCTTTTCCTCCTTGTTTTCTATCTTTTAAGCTATGAATTTGTTGACAGTACTATATTAAGGACATGGGTATAGTAGTCCATCTACTCATTTATTGCTTCTGCCTCATCCCACGTTCACGCAATATAGAAAAAGCTAAAAAGATCTTAGCACTGATCAATCCCTGAGGGATGCGTCATGGATTCCACTTCATTAAGCATCGTTTGGAGGTGATTGAATTCATATCTGGCCTTTGCAATGACTTGCGGTGGCCTACCGATGAACCGAATCAGTGCTGCTATCTTCCCAGCAGAAACAATAGAAACTAAGTCTAGTACCAATCTGCTGACACTGAAGGAATGGAAGGCTTGGTGGGCCATGAGAGCTGAGAGAAGATCGATTCCACATTTATGTTGCATAGAGCCTCCGACCACTGCGTCACACGCGCCCTGTAATATCGACCTGAATTAAAATCTTATACTAATAGTTTTCATGTTGTTCTATGCTACCATCTTCTTTTGATTCCCACCGACAACAAAATATTATGCAAAGTAAACTAAAAGATTCAAAGAGACTGCGCATTACTCAGAATCGAAATCTGGGTTAAAGGTGCTTTGTCTTTTCAGCAATAATTTTTCCTATTGATTACTGTTCTGAAGGCGAAACCGTTTTAGTTGCATGAGATTCGAAATCATAATTCACGAGCTCTTTCATACTGTTGGTCTTGACCATGAGCATTCTCGCAACGATCGGGATGACTATGTGAAGGTGCACTATGAAAACGTGAAAAAAGGCAGGTACTATTCTACTTTAATGGTTTAGCTAATAGCCGAAGCAAAAAGAAGTAAAAAAAAAACAAGGGAGTGCTTATAGCCCTCTATTAGTGAGAATTGGGCAACTGGAAGACCATTCTGTCCACTAGTACCAAATCGTAAGTGCTTTAAATATCCTTTCTTACTCCTAGTTATACGGACGGGGCACATCGTCTAGAAGAGCGTATCGAACGTTTGGTGGTTTCCATATCTCTAAACCATCTGTCTGGTGTTGATCTTTACCTTCACAACGCGCCATGCATTCCTAGCACCGCGTCAGAGAGATCATTAAAAAGGGTGAATAAGGAAAATTTGGCCGCAGTGGTGTGGAGGCATTTGCAAAACTTCTGACCGCAAGTGTCTGTGGTTAGGAGGTGGACCGCGCTATTATCCTTTGCGGGAGTTAAAGCGTTCACAACCCCATTATGCGTGATAGATCAAAGTCTCTTCTACAAGCAGGCCAGGCTACTAGCTTCTCAAGCCCTTAATTTGCAGAAAACCTTGAGTTACTAGGAAAAACTCATCATCGCTAATGAGCGGTATGCGAAGTTCAATTCTTACTAGCAGCTCACTGGTTTTTGATTTTCAGTTGTTATGAAGGTCACGGTTATGTCGGATAGTTGGTTACATGAAATACAAAAATAGATCCAACATAAGTAGAAAAATCCTCCAAAGCTATAACAGCATTGTGTTTGAGTGGTGAAATATGGTACAAAATAGCATACAGTAGCACTGTCCTACACTTGAAGGACAAAGAAATTTCTTCTAAAATTTTTTGGTGTTCTGAGCCTAATAAGTCCCCTAACTGTCAAAAATCTATCGCTTGTTCCCGAAAAAATAAACACTCTTTCGTCTGTTTAGTTCGCTGACGAGTACATGGCATTTTTGGTCTCCACGAAAAATCAGCGATAGTCAGTATGGGTTATGAAGGACTTTCTAATGTGACAATGGTGACTGGATGTAGTCTGAATTCATCAAGAATTCAATGCTTCATATCTTTTTCTCAGGAAGAGAGTCACAATTTCTGAAATGTCTTTATCCGCCTGAATATGACATACCGTATGATTACAAATCGATTATGCACTATCATCAGAGGGCGTTCACAAAAAATAACGGTATCACATTGGAAACGTTGGATCCGCAATATCAGGTGAGCAACAGTAGCCACTTTATGAGGCCATATTCCTCACCTTAAAAGAATATCACTTATGGCGTAAATCTTTACAGGATGTTATCGGTACAGCAAAAAAGCCGTCACCCAATGACTATTTGAAAGTTTGCGCTTTGTATCGTTGTGGAACTTGCATGGGCAAAAAAGTCGTAATTGAAACTCTTCCAGTAAAGCCAACAACACCAGCATCAAAACATTCGTCGGTAAGAAACAGCGACGTACACCGATTCTACTAAAACTCTTGTCATCCCCACGTCCGACTTTCTATTAACCTCGGCATTGATTGAACAATTATTTCTACTTCTGTTCAGCAAACACGAGGTGCTATTTTATTTTTTTATTTACGTACAAGCTGACGTTTCGAGGGATTTCGCCTTCCTCAGAGCCTGGAAAGGTCAAGTTAACAGCAATCTATTCGGTCAAACACCTCCATAACCAAACAGAGAAGACGCTAAACCAGGATTTCAATCACATTGAAAACAGAAGAGTTTTTTGCACACTCACCGCTTTCTATGAGTTTTCCACTGAGTATGTCGTGTGAAGAGCAACCGCACAGAATCCACATGGAAGCGTAATGTGCCCCTCCCACCAAAATAATAGGATTATATACTGTCCAATATCACGCGTGATAATAAGGCAGTCTTCCCGGCGGTTAATTTTCGGATTTCTGGAATTAATCCAGAACACCTCGAGAGCTTTGCGCGCTTGTGTTCTTGATTCCTGTGCGAAGATCGTGACACGTACTTCAAAGTCCTCCCCGTTATGTCTCTGGGTCCTATGCGTGCCTAGTGGGGTATTTGGTTTATGTTTGTTAGGTGTCCTTCTATGCGAACACAGAGGGGTCTCCTCGTTTCGCCAATGTATTTGTCTCCGAACGCCTTACACGAGATCAGATAAACTATACCCGAGCTCATGCAATCACCGTCTTTACCATTGGGGCAAATTATGCAATTTTGCGTTACACATAGACGGTCATATAGGCGGTTACGAACTAGCTGGCGCCTAAGATTACTCGGTGACATTTCAACTACGTTTACCGAATTCTCTAGACCCGCCCTTCTCAAGCAGCATTTTATAGCTGCACTTACATCATTTGAGATGAAGGGTAGGATAAACGGGACCGTTTTATCGCTAGAGTTGTCGTTTGGGAGTCTAATATTAATAGAAAGTCGGACGTGGGAGTTACTCTTGTCATTGTAAGCCGACTTTCATTCAACCTCGGTATAAATGACCAGTGTACCTTGTTTCATTGATAAGCTAACATGAAGTTGTTACCAATATTTATTCCGCTAGCGTCTCGACGTCTTCGTCTTCCTGAGAGCCGATGGACCTAGTCGATGTCCACGGTCGCTCGTCTTCTTGTCGTGGTGTCTTCGTCACGCATCAGGCCGGATCTTCTTTACTGGAACATCTCTCGAATGAGCCATACTCATCCGGAGATGACCTTATATGCAGGCTTTTCTTACTGATAGCCATGATTGGCCGGTGATAATAACTTGTTTCCTCCTAACGGTTTGCCGCCTCATCGTGGCTGGGAGGTGTTCCTGGGTATCGCGCTGCGATGTACAGCGGGAGGATTCATCCTCTGGCAGGGACTACCAAGCTGAGTCCGGCGTTTCCACCAAGAATCCCAGCTAAGAGTAAACCAATACCACGTTCCACCACCTTTCTGGTATCAAAGTTGCATGGTGGTAAATTTCCCTCTGATCCACAAGGGCTGCGACTGACCGACTGGTGGTGAGGAGCTGGAGCAGGCTTTGGCCATCCTGATCTCGCGATTCCAGAGAACCACAATGGCTTAGCCAGCAAATCCCCAAAAATTGGAGATTATGCTGAGGCCCGCACAGCCAGTGAGGACGGGCCTTTCAAGCGTCAAGTATCAAGTAATAACTTATTAATCAGGACAATCATTCCTGCAGAAGTCGGTATCATTATTAGTTAGCATAATGCATAACAATATCGTTGTAAGCCAACTTTCATTTAACCTCGGTATAAATGATCAATGTAGCTTGTACGTACGTATGTACGACTGCGGACCTTTGACTGGGATCAATCCTGCTCTGAGATAGGCAAAGACCTGGAAACGTTAGCCAAATAAATATTGGTAACAACCTCTTACTTATCAGTTTTTTCAACGTCAACTGATTGACTCCTTCTGCTTCACCGTAACAAGTAGAAGAGTATAGCGAAAACCATTTCGCATAGCTTACGTTTCTTCATTTACTATCTTCTTCACCCTGAAGCCTTAACCAAAATCGTTTAAAACTTTTTTTCATAAAAATTATTTGAAAATCGTTCTTCTTTTCAGTGCTACGATGTTCAGCCTTTCATTTGCTACATAGGTTTATTGCACGGTTTGCTGAACTGCAAGAAGCCGCTTCACAGACAAGCTTGTTGTAAAACATGCAAGAAGACACCTCATTTTGATGATTTTCTAAACATCACCCAGTTTTTAATTTGACGAGCAGTTATTTGTCACATGTTGATTAAATATATTCGTTAAAAATTAGGATAAAGTCGTTTGTTCTTCTTTCCACTGGTGTTATTAGTAAATCATCTGTCATCTATATTCACCCGTAGTCCCACTGATCGTCGAGTGACTCGAGCAGGCGCCAGTAAATCATCATTTTTCCCTGTCGCGTGCAAGAGTATCCCAGGGGGTTCTGCTTGCGAGTCGGTGGTCTTTCTGCAGTGCGTTTGACAACCCGAAGAATCCAGACACTGACGGCTCTTCTCCATCGGTTGTATTTCATATGCATTACGTGCCCGGCCGACGTTATCTTAGACTGTTAGCGTATAGAACGGCATCTTTTATTTTTGATCGTTGACGCAGATCGGAACTTCGGATCCTATCCCTTACTTGTGTGGAACGGGATATTCCTAGCATCTTCGTCTTCGTCTTATTTTAAGCGATCCATCTAGGTACTCTTTTATGATGCTAGAGTAAGCTCTACCTGTTTCAGCACTTTATTAGTTTTCATAAGCCTTTCAAGAGAATAGGTGTTGTGTACAAGGTAGTTTCCTCACTATCTTTGTTATTAGGGAACAACGTTCAATTTTGCGTTTTAGGTAAACGGTCATACAAGCGGGTCGAGTTAGCCTACGAAGTAATAGTTTAGGAACTGTCACTAGGCTCTCTGAAACAAACAATTTTAGAACTCGATAAACTTAATGACTGATCTTATTCTGTTGGATGTTTAATGAAATTGTTTGGAAGCACGACCTATCTTTTAGAGTTAGCCTAAATGGCTATAGCTTTATAGCTTAGGAAGATGGCTGTTTGCCGCGTAGCACGTTTTTATTACTTACTACATTACACATATTCTACTCTTCACTTGTGTTACTACTAAACAGGTCATTCAGTTTGATACATTGCGAAAGCTGTGCTCTAACACAGTACTTTTAACATAATCAAAATCCTTTTCCAACTCCTTTTATTACCAAAGGCTTAGGCGAAATGGCGTGCTATGATGAGCGACGAGAGAATAGTAGTTTCGTTTTCGACGCTGTAAAATCTGTATACGAAGCAGAGAGAGCTAAGGAAAAGGAGGAAACGATTGATTATCTTGGCAAATTTCTTTTACCTTTTCTTTCATTTCGATGTTGTTCATAAGGAAACTGCACCAGAGGTGAAAGTGAGCAAGTTGGATCTTAATAAAATTCCTTCAAGCCGAATTTGTTCTTATTGAAGCAATGTAAATACCATGTATCTAGTTACTCGGCTCGTGTTGTCGCAGAGCCTATCCTCCTCTCGCTCCTTTGAGGAATGATTGATGGAGAAGCAAGCCTGATATTTCCAGACATCGTCGCTGAGTCCACTGAAGGTAGAAATAATCGCTGCAGATTGACTTATTCATTATAGTGTGACTTATTTGCTCTGAGAAAGACGAAGACGCTCAAACGTTATCCCAGTAAAGCTTATTGAACACTTCGTATTTTTGTTGAGCAAACGCGAGGTGTTACTATTCTTTGTTCACGATTAAGCTGACGTTTCGGCGAATTTCGCCTTCTTCAGAGCCTGGAAAGGTCAAGTTGATAGCAACTCACTCGGCCAGACGCCTCCATAACCAAACAAAGAAACTCCAAACCAAGATTTCAATCACTTTGAACACAGCTTTGCACACTCACCGCTTCCTATGAGGTTTCCACTAAGTATGTCACGTAGAGACCAACCGCACAGAAATCACGTGGAAGAATAATGTGCCACTCACATGCCACTTTGCTCAACAAAAATACGAAGAAAATCACTTGATCAATGCCGAGGTTAATAGAAAGTCGGTCGTGGCAGTAATTGAACACTCTCGTGTAAGCTAAACAATTCAAAAAATATACTGATTATTCACGCTATGGTTGAATTGAAAGGCGCTTGTGCCGCAGTGATCAGAGGAGCTCTGCAACACACACGTGAAATTGTTCTCCGTGCCTATCAGACTTCTCTGAGAGGATAGCAGCACTGGCTCGATACATCGGTAAGCCACTGTGAGTTATTGTAAAGGCCAGATATGCATTCAGTCACCTCTAAACGACGCTTAGTGAAGTTGAATGCATGGCCCATCTCTAAGAGATTGGTCGACGCCGAGAGCTTTATTTTTTATCCTTAAGTTTAAGTAGAAGTCAGTTTCATAACAGCATAACGTACAAGGTTGAAGCTAATTATAGAGTTAGATTAGATCATAATTAATTAAAGCTATTAATTAATACGAAATTAGTTCGAAGTCGGTATTCACTCATCCATTTCGTGAAACTATGCTCTCGAGAAGTGACCGGTCCACTTTACAAACATGCGTCAAGCTCACTATTTCTTCATTAGCTTCACAATAACAAAAATAGTGGACCAGTATTTCTTTCATAGCTCAGTAAATATGTCGTCATCTTAACCTTTTTATTTACTGCCTATTCTTTTTAACGGGGGGGGGGGGGGGGTTTTTGGAAAAAAAACCTTTTTAAAAGGNGGGGGGGGGGGGGGGGGGGTATGTTGCGAAATATACCTTCTATGAAGGACTTCCCCGGATAGGACAATAGTGCGCGTTCGTTCACCACCGCGGAAACCTGCTGTCCGGAGTTTTGCAAATCTCAGCAATATAGAAGTTATGTCGTCATCTGTTATAGATGATGCGTGAATGTTGAACATCTGTATCTGGACTACTTTGTCATATGGCATTAGGTGTTTTGTTATGAGAAACAATTTTCCTTTGTCGTTTTTTGCTAGACAATTTGAATGTTGTGGAAACTATGTGATATTTTTCAAGAGTGTATGCGTTAACGGTTTATGGCTGGAAGTTGTAGGCAGAAAATGAAGAAATTGTCAATAATATTCTAACTCGACTGTAGTAACCTCTTTTAGATTCTACCCTTTTGATATCACCAAAATCTTCATAGCACAGTTGCTTAGGGATGTACTTGTGAGACATTGTTTAAAGTCTTTATAATGGCCTGATCCAACCTAAATGGATACCTTAGTGGTATAAGATACTATCGTTGCATCATTGGTGCTTGAATAAGCGGCGTTTACCATTAGGGTTACCCGCAACACAATTTTGCCCTTCTGTGACTGCATCCATTTCTCAGGACTTGTTTGTCCATGACGGGCAAGAACTACTAATAGGACACCTTTACACCGTCTACGCAAGAAATCGTTGAGCCTTTCGCTTGGTGGCGTGCTTTGTCCTTATAGGAATAGTTTGTTCCATTGTGGTAGATCCCAACTGAACTCGTTTCCGAAAACTTAATATGATATTAGTGCTTGATTTGAAGAGAAACGAATTCAAGGTATTTACAATGCAATGAAACCAATCATCGGCTGTTTTTCGGTAAAAGAGTAAAGGATAAAGCTCTCGGCTTTGATCAATCAATCCCTAAGGGATGAACCATGCACTTGACTTAGTTAAGATCCCTTAGAGGTGATTAAATGCATGTCCGGCTTTTAAAACGACTCGTAGTGGCCTACCGATATATTCCGATGTATCGAGCCAGCGCTGTTAGCCTTTTTCGATTTTCTACGTAGTTTTGTGAATATATGAAGGCGTTCTGCAGCACACACGTGGAGTCATTCCCTGCGCCCATGGCACACCAAGCCTTCCACCCATCCAGGGTCGGCAAACTGCTACCAGACTTGTGGATAGCAGCAATGGCTCGATATTTCGGTAGGCCACCACTATTCGCTGTGAAGGCTAGATATGCATTCAATCTCCTGCAAACGATACGACCAGCGTTCACGTCAATTGTGCGGATCACAGCACTTCCCACATTCGATTCGTTTCCTTTCATCCATGTACCCTACAATAGGAATGTAATGGTTTACTCCACCCAACATCTAGGATAATGATGTCCTTCATCTTTTTGAGGCGAGCAAATTGGGCATAAAATTCTCAACGAAAATGGAAGCACTAACTTAATGGACATTCGTAGGTTACTGTATGGGTAAAATAATATGCATTCAATCACCGTTTACCGTACTTATTGGTGTGGTGAATCGCTCTAGGACTGATCAGTGTCGAAGACTTCGTTGTTTATCCTTTAATGCTCAAATGCATAAAAGCGGGAACATAGCAGCAACTGATATTGCTAAAAAATAAACGCATAGGTAGTACATTCCTTTCGATTTTTAAATTATACAAGCTTGTAATCAAACTTTCAGTCACATAGGTAATTTGTTAGCGTTTTGAACAATGACGCTACCACTATGTTCCGCATGTGATACGACTGCAAAAAGGTTCAAAATACAATATTTATTAGCTCCTTTACAAGAAACCGATTTATTAAAAAACGTAGTAGTAGTACGCGTATCCAAATGGGTAATCCTCCTCTTCTTCACTTAAGAGTTCACAAGTGGTGCAACAGTACCGCTTGAAAAAGCCACTGGTGCAGTTCAGTAGTCGTAGTTTGAGTGCAACGAAACAGAACTTCGGAGATCTGTCCGAACATTCTGCAAAAACATTCTGCTATTCAAGGGTTTGGCGAATTAAATATAATTTTTCATTATTGGTTTATTGAGGGTTGTTAGCTTGATTCTGTTGAAGTACCATATAAATAATGAGGAACAAAACAGCTTGGCGATCTTCTTAAAAATCGGTGGGAAAAGTAGTTTGTAGTAAACTCATACTACACACTACTAAGCCCTAAACTTTATAGTGGACGGCTAAGCCCAAGTTTCTTTACTCTCTAAAAGAAGAAGTATTTGAGAAATCGCTACGACTTCTTGATTTTTTTGAAAATTTTTTATTTTGAAGCACAAGACACACCGTCCTGATGTTATTTCAATGTTGGCTAGTTTCTCTTCTCTTTGCTGAAAAGAAGTTCAACGACCAAAAAGGCACAAGTTTGATTACTTTCAGTAGTTGTGGGCTGAGGTTTCGGTGTCGTTGAAGACGGTTTATGATCGTCTTTTTCTGTTGTTGTACTTGTATTTCCACCATTGCACACGGCACATCCGTAGATTTTGCAAACTTTTTGATAGTCGCTTGTTGAGGCGTCTTTTTGCCTGCCAATAACATCCTGAAACCATCATTAGAACTTAATCTCATTAAAAATTAGACAGAAGGGACCTGTACCTAGAAAAAGATCGTTCTGAAACAAGGTTAGCGCTCATCGGCTTTAGTGCAACTTTATGGAAAGTGAAGAACATTTAAAAGAGAAATGATAATACTGCTGTGTTGTATTTATTTTTATTTTTATTTTATGTGACCCGTCTGAACGTCTACCATGACGATCTCAGCACTTCTCACATTCGATTCGTTTCCTCGCATCCACTGTCCACGAAGATCCTCTAACTTTTGCGTGTGGCTTCGGTTGCTGCTTGAGGAATTTCATTTCACCTTGAATGTCGTAGAATGCCGCTCGAGCAATTCTCCCTCGAGTCCTGAGGTAGCCAAGCTGGAGCGTTCGCAGCATTGCAGAGAGCGACTTTTTTCCAGACAAGTCCGGTACCAATTCTCCGACACCAGAGGGATGGGAGGCTTGGTTGGCCTGGAGCGGAATCGAACTAGCACCATGTTCGTGATGACGAACTATGCTATCCGCTTCCTGTTGCATTCTAATATTGAAACAAATTGCCCTCTGAAGCTATATTACAGTGCTAAAAAGAGTTTTTTTTTCAAAACTTGAAGTATTTCAGTACCATGTAACTGGGATCCAGCGTCTCCATGCTGATCTTTCCAATCCTGGCGAACGCTGTCTTTGTGTAGTGCATCACCGATTTATAGTCGTAAGGGATGTCGTACACTGTCGACAAATATGATGAAACTTTTGTGAATTGATCCTCGTAGCCTTAAAATAGGCAGGATGTAGACAACCACTAAAATATATAGATAAGGTAGTTAAAGGTGTTGTGTAATGTGTTGCAGGTATACGCTGGGATCCCTCTCACTGATGGACCTGTGTTCTACGGCATTAACAATTAGGCTATTTATTTGGCAGTTGGCAAGTGATACATTTGCACCCACATCATCTGTGATTTTATAAATGGGCTTGAAATGGAACGAATGTAAGGAACAATTCTTTACTGATTTGTCAACTCTCAGAGATTCTTCACTTGATCTGTGCTTACATTGGAAGACAAGTGATTCCATTCCTATCGGTCAAAAATCGTCGGAGCTATGGAATTGTGCAAGAGAAATTGACAAACCCATGTTAGATCACCCTCACTGGAATTGAAGCTTCGGATGACAAACAGGTGTTTCAATTAATTTGGCTCGACATAATACTCAAATCTGCTACACTGATGCGGCGTTGGAGTTCTACGGAAAAATCGTTGCACAGAAAGGCAAGTGAAATACTTGAAATAAACAATATTATAAACAGCTAAAAAACCTCTCGGCTGACCAGCCCCTGAGGGATGCGCAATGAATTCAACTTCATTAAGTATCGTTGCAGGTGATTGAATGCATATCTGGCCTTTACAATGATCTGCAGTGGCCTACCGATACATCGAGCTAATGCTGCTCTTCCCAAACAAGTCTAGCACGAATTTGCTGACCCCGGAGGGATGGAAGGCTTAGTGGAACATGGACACGGAGACCGATTTCACATGTGTGTTGCAGGGCGACCACTGCTCGACACACACCGCTTACGTTATTGTAAAGAGAATCAAAAGGTAAAGATAATCAAATTAACTGAAGCGTATGTATAACCAACCTGGCACAATATTTTTATAGTGAACTTTGATATATTTATCTCTATCATATCGCATATGCTCATGCCATAGTCCGATAACGTGCAACAATTCGTGTTGAACGATGTGAACCTCAATGCACCTAAAATCGAATAAAAACCACAAAAATGATCATGCATTTTAGAAACGAATTCTAATCACTTTAGCTGTACTCGCTGTTTGTAACGGGAATTTCAACTGCGGTGTCTTAGGCAATGGTTAGTGATTTTCTTGGTAAGTTGGGATCCCTACAAATGCTGTGAGCTTCAGTGGATTTGCCTCGCACAAGCCACATCCAAACATATCGAGCCTGCTCAAACGGCGGACCCCTTCCATCATGGGCATATTTCTAATCACATTCATATTACCGTAGTTTTTGTGCATTTATTGTTATACATTAGTCAGTGTTCAATCCAAATGTACTCATAAATTTGAAATCCTAACTTAATCTTGTATTTGAATTGGAAATTATCTTATTCCCGGCAAAATTTCTCACCGAAGTTGTAATATACAAAATTTTAGTGCAGGCTGGTTAATGAGGCCTAAGGAACAGTGTGCCGATTTTCTTTAATTTTACATGCTTGTGTACTATAATTTTATGTGTTCAGTGGTATTTTATACCATTTAAGTCTTATGGCGGTGCGGGAAGCAAAATGGACGGAGTTGTGTAACGGACACACATGGTTGCTGGTTGGTTCAACATCACAGTAGGCCACCCTAGCTCCTTATCTCTTCAAGATTAGTAAATTTTTACTAAAGTGTCCTTAGAAAGTATATTATTTGGTCTAAGAAGGTCGGAGACTATTTGTGGCGGAGAACTTGGAACACTCCAGTAGAGCCGTACCAGAATGCCTCTGAGAATCAGTTCGACCACCATTCAAAAACGTTAATGAGGAAGAGAAAATCCTCAATCTCTCGCCGAATCCACATTCAAAGCAGAAATCGTTTTCGGAAGGATGTAAACAATGAGATGAAGAAAAGGAAATCGCACAGTATGTGAAGACAGGTCGTGAAAACGAATAAATGAACAGCTCATTTTATTTTTTCACTTTTGTTTTATGTGACCCGTCCTCACGTCTAGTGTGTGGATCCCAGCACTTCTCATATGTGATTCCTTTCCTCGCATCCGCTGTCCACGAAGGTCTTCCAACTTTTATGTGTGACTTCGGTTGCTGCTTGAGGATTTTCATTTCATCTTAAATGTTGTAGAATACTGGTCCAGCAATTCTCCCTAAAGTCCTGAGATAGCCGGGTTGGAGCGTTCCCAATTGGATTGCAGAAAGCAATTTTTTCCCAGGCAAGTCCAGAACCACTTTCCCAACCTCGGAGGAATAACAGGCTTGGTTGGCTTGGAGCGAAATCGAACTAACACCATTCTTGTGATGATAAGCAAACTAATTAGATATTTCAATGATGCTGAGATATTTGCAAAACTCCGCACAGCAGGTGTATGCGATGGGGAACGAACGCACTATTGTCCTTTCCGGGGACAGAACTAGTTGAGAGACAGGCGAAACGAACGACCCGCGTGGTGTGGTGGTGAACGCACTACTCCCCAGAAAGGACAATAGCGCGTTCGTTCCCCACCGCATACACCTGCGGTCCGCAGTTTTGCGAATACCTCAGTATCATTGAAGTTATATTTCACAATGTATACCCTGCCGTTAAAATGAGTAGGCAGTAAATAATAAGTTAAAATTGTAATTAGATATTATTACGAGACACCATTCGGTGGAGCAGAATCGTTGGTTCTACTTCGTCGTAAACCAACGAATCTCTTCTTCTCTTCGATGGTGACCTCTTCACATTGAATTCTATCATACTTCTGCCTGGACGTTTGTAAGTGATGAGTATGAATTTTTTGAATAGAAACCAACGTGCTTTCTTCATTCGATTCAAGCATCAATATGTTTCTTCCTGGATGACGACCCACATTAGTGTAGCATCTGAAACAGAGCAGCTGTTAATTTTTTTTTGGTATAGTTTGTAGAACTAATAGACATCTTTCTCTGCATTGTTTCCTTCCTTGCTTATGATAAGTTCAGGATAAAGTTCTAACCTGCACACAACGTAACAGATAAGTCACTGTCGGTATAAACAGCCCTTACCCCGAATTTTAGCTTTTCCCCGTAAGTTCAGACCAAAGTTGTGTCCGGTACAAAACGGAACGTTTAGATTAACGGCGGTATAAGAAGTTTCCACTAAGATTTATACCTTTATGAAATTAAGACCATAACCGTTTCTGTCTCACCTACTAATCACTTATTATTTCACCCATATCTTTGGGTTTTCATTACAATCGTCAAAAAGGGCTATTAGGGAGATCTGAAGAGGCAATCTTTTATTGGCGATCGCGTTTCCAACGTTTACCTAGCAGCTGCAGCACTCACCCTTCACCCCACTTGTTGCGGATTTCAACGTAATCGCTTTCATAGTCCCTCGTTCGGAATCGAATACAAGTGTTTGCTTCGATTCGCTCCATAGCTCGTTTGATAACACTGAGTTCAGACCGATCTTAAACGAAAGATAAGGAATTTTTATTTTTTTATTCTGTTTTGTTTATTATTTCGCAACACACCTTGCCATTAAAAAGAGTAGGCGGTAAATAGAAAGTCAAAATTGTGATTATAACTACAGCCTCAGCTTAACTTGGGTCCATTGCCGATTTGGGATCCCCAGATCAGTCCCGCTGACGGGTGATTGCTGATGGCACTGACCGGTAGAACTAGCTAAGAGATATGCGAAACGAATGACCTCTATGGTGTGGTGGTGAACGTGTTAGCGCCCGGAAAGGTTAATATTGCGTTCGTTCCCTACTCAGACACCTGTGGTCTTTAGTTTTGCAAATATCTCAGCATTATTGAAGATAAAGACTTTATAGGGATGCTACTGACTGGGCTGAAAGAGTACGTTTTCATTCTAGTTACTTCGTTTAAAGATCACAGTGCATAGTTTCAAAGTTAAACAAGGTATACATTCCAGACAACCACTGCATGGAAATTAGTCGCTCTCCTTGTCCTTTATCAACTCATAAAACTGCGGAAAGTTTTGCCTAACGTTGAGGGAATTTCTCAACACGAACGATTTATGTGCAATGTGGTCGAATCTCGACCGTCACTGGTCCCCATCAGTATATTTGACTGGAGTCCTACCAATATCACAGCGAAGTGATCGCATTGACGGTGCCGTCAGCAATTGAACAAACGTCGTCTCACATTTTTATGAGATTAAGTGTTTTGAAATTTTAAACCAACTGTCATTTAACCTCGGTCGTAGAATAATCAACATGCATTTAAATTGTGAAGCTCATACGAGGTTGATAAACACATTTATTTCGGTGAACGTTTCGACGTGTTCGTTTTCATCTGTTCCCATGATCCGAGTCGGCGGTCCACAGTTGTTCGTATTCTCGATGCGGCGTCTTTGTTGTCGTACCAAGACAGATTGGAACACAGCACGAATGAAGCATGCTCACCCGACAGTGCTGTTTTATGCAAGGCGGTCTTTGTTGATGTGACTATCCGTTGACAACAATTTGTTTTTCAACAGATAATCCATCCTGCAGCACTCGGTATTATGTTAGATATTAATTTATCAACAATTGTTATCAACGCAAGAGCTCGTGTGGTGCAGCGGTCCAGCGGTGGGAGGCACCTTACAATAAACATGAGATCGACTGCCACGACCGACTTTCTATTAACCTCGGCATTGATCAAGTGACATTGTTAACAAATGCCTGTTAACAAAATTGTTAACAGGCATTTGTTAACAAAGAACAATAACACCTCGCGTTTGCTCAAAAAATACGAACAAAATCATGAGATCGACTGTTTCGCCCCTCGCCCACCAAGCCTTTCATGGAGTCGGCAAATTGGTGCCAGACTTGTTTGGGAGGCTAGAAGCACTGGTTCGATACATCGGTATGCCACCGCGAGTCATTGTAAAGGCCAGATATGCATTTCAATCACCTCCAAAGATGGTCAATGAAGATGGATTCATGGCGCATCCCACAGAGATTGCTCAATGCCGAGAGTTTTTTTTTAGCTTTACTATCAACGGTTAGTCGTATCAAAAACAATCGCCGGGTTAAGAGAACACTGCAGAGTGAGCATGCCTCATTCGTGCGGTGTTCCACCGAGGAAGATCCGCGACGAGATACTGTGGACCGTCCACTCGTCTCATCGGCTCTAAAGAAGTCGAAGACGTCGAAACGTTTGCCGAAATAAATCTATTTATCAAACTCATGTAAGCTCAACAATTTAAATACGTGTTGATTAAGTGTTTTCAATGCTAACATTTCAATTTCTTCCAATTATAATTTTTCACGGCAGAGTTCGAAAATTCGAAATGCAATCACAAGAATGCTGAGATACTTGCAAAACTCCGGACCGCAGGTGTTCGCGGAGGGGAACAAACACGCTATTACCCTTGCCGGGGGCTAGCGCGTTCACCACCATAACAGGCAGGTCCTTCGTTTCGCCTATCTCTCAACTACTTCAGGGCTGCATTTCGTTCTCCACCGCATACACTTGAGGCCTGATATTTTCAAATAAGTATTTTCAGTTGTTTTGTAGTGCCTCATCTCTATAGTATGTGCAGAGTTCATTTTTCCCATGTTGGAAAGAGGAAGCTGAGAGAGCCGTAGGATAAGTTTACTTCCCAATTTTGAAGAGAATGAACGAAAGCACAAGAAATAGTTAAGCATTGAACTTTGGTTTTCTTCCAAGAACTAGAATTTTCTTTAACTACCGTATCGTCCTTTGATAACAAATGGTATCACTGTGTTTCCTTTCCCGTCCTTCACATTCCATTTGTATCGAGAATTACTGTAGATGGCATTGCGAAATTTGCTCCTGCTTCCGCCGTGATGAATCCTAGAGTAGATCTCTTATAGTGCAAAGTAATTCGAAATGCTTTACATATGGATTTGACTAATTTTTCATAACTGCGATTACATCATGAGGTTCGTTTCTCCATTACACTTGCCATGAGCGCAATTTTATTTTCATTTGTTTTGCGCCAACATATGCCTCACATAAGCCGATTGTCTGCAAGAGTTTATAGCTGCTTTGAATTAAACTAGGTTTCTGACATATGATAACCAAAACACTGGTCGCTTAGCCCTTGGGTTCTCGATGAAATCACCTATGTTAGATGCCCAATACAAAGTCATTTCAAGGCGGGGTGTGCTCAAAGCAGAGGAAGACTGTGTAGTGGTAGTGTTGCTGTTCAGTGCAAGCAAGGCTCTGGTTAAATCAAATAACGTGTCTAACAAGCTTTTCGTCCTTCCAGAGTCGGATAATTGATACTGGGCTTGTCCGTGGTCAGCTCTCTCGCTTTAAATGCGCAAATGCAGTGAAGACCTGATAAGGGCTTAGCCTGACTAACCCAGGATTCAGTGAAGACTTCAAGGAGCATCCAGTGGCATTCATAAAGAAGAGAAAGTCGTTAAATGGCGAGCAAACATACGCGTAAACCCCTGCGGACTATAGATCGAATACAAGAAATGCGAAGACCCGAACAACATGTGATATCGGCTCCTGTGAAAAAAATGTGCTCAGACTCAGGGAAGGCTTCCCCTATACTAATTGCAAACACGCGTTGAAGTTACAACAGGAAGCGGATAGCATAGTTCGTCATCACGAACATGGTGCTAGTTCGATTCCGCTCCAGGCCAACCAAGCCTCCCATCCCTCTGGTGTCGGAGAATTGGTACCGGACTTGTCTGGGAAAGAAGTCGCTCTCTGCAATGCAACTGCGAACGCTCCAGTCCGGCTAGCTCGGCACTCCAGGGAGAATTGCTCGAGCAGCATTCTACGACATCCAAGGTGATATGAACTTCCTCAAGCAGCAACCGAAGCCACACGTAAAAGTTAGAGGATCTTCGTGGACAGCGGATGCGAGGAAACAAATCGAATGTGAGAAGTGCTGGGGTCCGCACAGTGGACGTGAAGACGGGTGATATAAAAAAGACTTGGCAGATATTACTTGTATCAATTCTTAAACGCTTTTTGACTCCTTGAATATCGAAAGTGTCTCAGGAGGCACTATATTCTAGAAGCGCCTCATATATTTTGCCATTGCTTGTTGTTAGTGGACCCAGCGTGCGGTGGAGGGAATCCCTTTCTCGTAATGAACGGCAGCTCTACCAATGCGCTATACTCCCTCTCAGAGTATACACATATATTATATATTATATACATATATCATATATTATATACATATGCATATATTTACTATATATGCATATATAATAAAAAATCTTAAGTAAAAATACGTAAATAAACTTTTGAAACACTTTCTATTCTATATCTTTTAAAGAAAAGGTATATTACGATTAGGTGGCAAAGTGCATGGTAACGCAGCCGCCCACATTCGCGTAAATGACTGCATATGCCAAATATACACTCAATCTCCTCTACAATGCTTAAGAGAGTGGAATGGATGATGTACCCTTATGAGACAGACTAAGGTCGACTTCTCTATCATTTCATGTTTTGTAGAAACAAATTTTCGCCTTGTTGAAACAACTACTGGATTGAAACGGACATTCTTTTAGTTAACAAAAATCTCCAAAAGTTGAGACATAGTGTTTTAAAACATAGGAAACAAAATTACTTCTCGAAATATAATCACAAGAATGCTGAGGTGTGAGCAGAACTCGGAGCCTCAGTTGGACTTCGAACCCGCGCTTACCCTTTCCGATTGTCCATGTGCTATACACCACATCAACCAAGGCTCTTGCACTGCCTTCTTGTCAGCCGGTTTTTTTTTACCTTAACGCTACCACCAGCAATCACCTGCCAATAGGAATCATCTGATGAACACAAATTGGGATTGAACTTAGGTAAGCTAAAGCTACAATCGAAATCACAATATTTAAGGTCCTTTTTCCTGTTCCAGTCTTTGCTCTTACCTTAGCATCCTTCTGGCTGTATTTCACATTACACCATCTGATGAAGACAAAATAGGTAGTAGACAAAAATTCAAACATTGGGAATTACTTGGCCTGTATGTAGGTTTCATTTCGTCTACAATATATTAAAGAAAGAGTACTTGGAAGGCTTAGGCGTTTAAACGGATTTAGACAAAAACTGGACTGGTGTGGGTTTTACCGAAACACAGCACTACATTACTAAGCCGATTGAAATCACATAACAACACTGGACAAAAGCAGTGCGGGCAAACTTGAACAGAATACGAAGCTGTTCATTGCCAGCTAAATCAACAAATCAACAGATCCATTCACAGATCGACGGCAGTGGAGTCTACACATGGGATATGAAAATGTAATGACACTCACCTCTCATCTTCTATACATGAAAAAGCGCTCATTAGAAACATGTATTGAACGGCTAAAAATGTGTTCACAGAAGAAGGGAAAGGAAGGAATCGCTAAATTTGGCACGAAAAATAGCCGTTTCCAATGGTTACGAAGCAGAAGCCACTCGAGTTAGACAAAAGCGGAGGGTTGTTTTCCAAAATAATATTTCGAAGCTAACTAAGATCCCTTTCAGGCTACCCTTCACATGAAATGAAATAAATTACACCATAGAGGTGGTTAGGAAAGGTGGTCTTGAAAATTATGTCGTGATTATTGTCGTGACCTCCTGCTCAGCATACTAAGCTGTCAGTTCGCAACCGTCCCTATGACCGTTTCTGTAGTTCAGGAAACTGTATGATCTGTGCTAACGAGAGAGACAAGGATTGCACGAGTTCAGGTACAATATGCTTGATCTCGCGTAAGGCATGCGGTGAGGAATAGATTGGGGGAAACGGGCAGA